TCTACCACAACAAATGTCCAGATTATATGTACCTAAATTTACCCTAATCTCAAGCCAACACCGATACAACACCAGAAACAGGATATATAACTTTGTTGTTCCAAAAACAAAAGGTGCTAATCACACTTCATTTTTTGCAACTGGTATCCGAGACTGGAATGCTCTACCCAATTATCTTAAAGAAATTACTGACCCCAGGATGTTTAAGAGAAAGCTTAAAGAATTTTTACTTACTGGTTGTTAATGTTTCATGTTTTTATCCTTTACTACATGCAGTTTTTATATTTACTCAATTAGTAATTTTAATATTCAATTTTAACTTCTACAATTTTTAAATTTTAAATTGGCCTATGTTTACCTATTTTATATATTTTACTATATATTCTAAACCTTGCCAGATCACTATCTGTAAATATTCGCTCTTGTGCAATAATTACCCTGGCTTCTGGACCCCATTGGAAATAAGTCTGGTGTACAATCACTAGACTTAATGGGTTATCCAGGCATTCAATTAATTATTCATCTCCTTTTTTATGTTCGTTCTCAAAATGTTATTGTTATGTGTGTGATATTGAATACATAATAAATCAAATCAAAAAATCAAATCAAGGATGAGGAGGATGAAGATTATGAGGATGATAACGACGATAGATGATTAATGAGGACGTGATGAAGATGAGGACGCTGACGATGGATGAGTATGATGTGATGATGATGATGGTGATGATTACAACGATCGATGACAGTAAGGATGATTATGGTGATTAGACAACAATGAGAATGATGATGACGGTGACGAATAGGATAAAGATGATGATAATGACGAATGATGATAATACTGTAATTATATCAATAGTGGTAATAAAAATATAAGTAATATTATTATATAACAGTACTAACAATGTAATTCATTTCAATAATAAAATATCATTTTGAAATAACAATAATACAATACAGTAATATATAATATTAATAATGATTTCAACAACAATGAATAAGCATAATACTACTATTAAAATAATAATATTTACATATATTCTATATGTGTACATTGCTTTGATGAGATTGTATTTTGTACTTTAAGAACAATAGTAATAATAATAATAATAATAATAATAATAAAAATAATAATAATAATAATAATAATCTTTCAAAAATAACCATTTTCTCCGCCAAAACGAACGCCATCTTGAAAAATGGCATTATGATCATTTTAATCAAATTTGATAAAGACAGTAAAGAGTAACTAGTTAACTAAGTTTATTGTCAATTTTCACATTTATAGCAAAACTAGAAGTGACTAAAATAATGCCATAGTTTTTTTTTTTTTCAATTTACACCGATCCGAGTCCAGAAATTGAATTGTTGCGTCTTTCAAAGCAAAATTTCTCTATTTTTTTTTATATTCTGATATTGTTTTATATATATATATACATATATATATATATATATATATATACATATATATATATATATATATATATTTGTATGTATATGTTTTATTTTATCGTTGTATGTATAATATTGTTTTAAAATTGTTCTGATAACAATAAAGTTAATTTTACATTTAAAAAAAGTTTTTACCGCCAAAACGGCAGCTATCTTGGATTTTTCGTGATGACGTCATCATTCTGATTAAATTTTTTAATGAGAGTGAAGAGTAACTATTTAGCCAAGTCCTTGTTACATTTGATATACATAGCATATGTAAACGTGACTAAAAACATACATTTATTTCCCCCTACCCCCATCTTAATTAGTCCAAAATAGGATATTTTATGTTAAAATTTCAAAGTGCTATAAAAAAAATTGCCCAAGCTCTAAGAATGGGGATTTTTTTCTGAGACACTATAAGCTATACTGTTTCAGAAAAACTAAAAATAAATTTTCCTTTACTTTTTCCCCGCTAATTTCCTACTGCACCCAGACTATTTTTAATCAACGATAGCTAAATTTTGACATCAGCTTTTGAAAATCGCTTTATTTAATCGCTTTATTTAATTTAATCGATTTTGGAATAGTCGCTGGTACTATTAACGTTATCGAACAGCTGGAAATGAAAATTAGAATGAATTAAAAACCAAAAAAAAAATCGTGAATAACAATTCAACAACAAAGAATTATTATCCAAAAGCCAAAAATGTACAATATAAACATGAGGACTAGCCTAGAAGTAAACTTGTCTTAGCTTAGCCCTGGAGCCGATTTGCAATTGCAAAAAATGACAATAAGAAGTTGAAGTAGAACCAAACAATGAAACTTAAGTGATTTAATAACTTTTTGGACGTAAAATGTTTCTTACGTTCTCTTTTGAATTTGTTAATTTTTTTAATCTCTGTTATATTTCTATGAAACTTATTCCATTGAATAGGACCTTGACTTTTAAATAAAGGTCCAGATAGAGATAAATAATAAGAATTGTTATTAATCTTACAACCTTTTTTTTTTCTTTTTTTTTTTTTTTTTTTTTTTTTTTTTTTTTTGAGTCTTACGTATTTCTTTGATATTACTTGGATAATCAATGGTGGAAAGAAACAGTCCTCCATGGATAATCAAAGCCCCAAATAATTATACTACAATATAGTAAATAAAGTAAGATAATAGAATTACATAAAATGTAAGTAAGATATCACGTGGAAAAAACAACTTAACTTTATTTAAGATTCCAGCAACTTTTGAGATTTTAGGTTGAACTGAATTTAAATGGGATTTCCAGCTTAAATGTTCATTTATAGTAACTCCTAAAAATAAAATATTTGACCTACTTTATATGATATTGTTTTTGATTTTTACTTTATAGTTACCAACCTCACATGCACGTTGATACGGTCTAAATAAAATATAATTAGTTTTCTTAAAATTAGTAACTAATTTATTAGAATCAATACTTAGTAATATCTGAGTCTAATAAATGGTTGTGTCATCAGCAAATGATATAATATTTTAATTGTTGCAGGCACAATGTAAATCATTAACATAAATAATAAATAATAGTGGCCCAATACCGAATATGGGGAATAGTTTTTGTAGAAGTAGCTGATGGTAATAAGATTAAACACTTCTGTGTTTTTTTACGAAAACTGTATTGAGAACGTGTCATGAAATTATCAAGAAAGAAAAAGTTAAGCATAAATTTTTCGATAATTTTAAAAAGACTGGAAGAAGAGAAATTGATCTGTAATTGGAGGTTTCAGCTTTGTCCCCTTTTTTGAGAATTTGTACCAATGTGCAATTTTCAAGCTGTCAGAAACTGGAATTCCTTTTTTAAATCAAAAATGTAAAAAATGGGAGGTATTGGTGAACATATTGAATTTGCAACAAGCTTAATCATTTATGAGGCATATGATCATAACCATGATCATATGGATGATTGGATGATTTAAGACAAAATATACTATCAAAAACTTCTTGATCAATGACTGGAATAATAAAAAATGAATTTTATCATGGATTGATATTTAAGTGTTTATTAGCAGAGGTGTTCATGATAGAGATTGATGTTACAGTGACCCTATTTATTGTTTTATAGTAGTAATTCAAAAAAGTTACAGCATTCATTTTAAAAAGAAGCACCCCCCTCCCACCTCTTTACTTTGCAAAAGTAGCCTCGAAAAGAAGCCCATCCTGAAAGAGGCCCATCTCGAACGAAAAGAAACCAATCCAAATTTCGTAAAAGAAAAAAAAGAAGCCGCCTTTAATCTATCCAACGGTACCAGAATTTTTCCAATACGTTGAGTTTCAAGTGAGATATCAGCAGTTGTCTGTCAAAAGATGAGTTTTTTAGCCAAATCTCATGAGAATTTCAAATTGCTCTAAGTCATCAGAAAATGCTGTCGCGGAGCCAAAAATTTCACTGTAGGGTTATCTAAGGTAGACCCCCTAACAGACCCCCTAACAGGCAAAATATTGGGCGATTTCAAGGGGATCGGGCAAAAAAGTGTGTTGGAACCATATGGAATGACCCAGAAGTAAAAAAACAGCAGGATAAAAAACGGTAAAACCGAACAAAGAGGGGTAAAATGAACAATATAAGGCATTGCAAAGTAGTGTAAAAATTCAAATTAAAGGAATAAAACCATAAAAAATGTTCGACAAGTTTAAAAATTTAAGTACATCTTGTTTGCGTATTTTCTTTTTCGTTTACCTGGATATTAAATAAATTAAAAATATCAGGAGGAGCCCTAATTTCTACCAATTTAAATAATATATGGGGAATAAAAGATTATTATATTCAAAATTTCAATAGTTCTCTCATCTTGCTCGATCTTATTTGTTTATTGCTTTGTTTGTTTTCTTATTTTTCTACTGCTTTATTGCATTAGTTAAGTTAGCTCACTTTGAATAGGTTTGGTTCTATGCAAGCTTTACTCAGGGGGATGTTTTTGACTTATTGTGGAGAGATCGCTTACAGCGCTTCGTAACTGAAAAGAAAGGTGCTATACAAGCAACAAGTAACAAGTAAATTTTGAATCCGACTGCCATTCCCGGCAATATAGAAGTGCCATAAACATAAAAATGTCGTTAATCAGCACCAACCACGATGGGGCTGAGGTTGTGTCGACCCCCTATCTGTAAAATGTACGTCTGTCTGACCCTCCTCTTTCGAATTCCAGGATCAATAAACAATAATTATGCGTTGAAGTCTGGTAGGTCTTATTACAATTTAAAATATGATCAAGTGAAATAACATGCAAACAAATTAAACATTCAAGACATTAGGCCTACGTTTGAAATTTTAAACTGTTATATTATTGTTTTGGTGCGTTCAAGTGGGTGGAGCTAAGCAAGTGAAACATTTGTTTTCATCAAAAAGATTTGTTATCGAGTGATCTCCTCAATGGTTTCAACATCTTATAACTTATCAGTAGTTCTTTTTAATATGGATCATATTTTAAGCAAATGGATACAAATATTATTGATAATGGTAGCGACAGTTACAAATATAGCTCTAATAGCTGGCGGATTAAACTCATTCGGTAATTTTCAACCTCACCTTGTAGACTTCTTTGAGGCGACAGTCGCCGATGTTGCTTGGGCTGCAACTTTTGCAAATTCGTCAGTGAATATATTCGGTAAGTTAGAAGTAGTTATTTAGTTTTATTAATAATGTTAGTTATCACGTAATTATAGTAATTTGCATAAATAACAATAGTAATATAGTGTCCTAATGATAAAACTTAAAATGATGCTAAAAGTAAAAGATAATAATAATGATGTTTAAATGTTATTGCTATGATGGTGCTGATGCGTGATGATGATTAATGACAAATGATAATGGTGGTGGTGGTGGTGGTGATGATGACTTACACTTTACATTTTCTCGTTATTCTTTTTTAGGAATAATAAGTGGCATCCTCATTAACAGATGCGACGTTTCTAAAGTAATGTTTGCAGGCGGAATTTTCTCGTTTTGTGGAATGTTTGGCATGGTATTTGCAACTGATGTACTACAATTGACTATATTCATTGGAGTAGTGATGGGTAAGGAGAACTAATGCATTTTGAACGAATATATGCATGATTATGTGTCAACATTAAATGTACAAATAAACTGAATAGGCCTAACAATTACGTTTGGGCGGACAGAGTGGTGGTTAAGACGCTCTGAATTAAAACCACGCTCGAAACATCAGATCTTTTCACTCACATATCGATTACACTGATTGTCCTTAAGCTTGGTTCAAACTGCACACTTCATGCACAAACAGAAGATATTTGTCACAAACCTAAACCGTGGCTCACATTGCGACGAAAAGTTTAATTATGACCACCTCAGGCCAAGACGAGGCCAACATTTGCATACGATTAGATTGCCAAAGGCGCAGATCTGTTGTTAAAGGTGGGAGGGGCATTTCGTGAGACCACCATTTGAGGAAATAGAACCGCTAGATGAGAATGAATATGGATGACACCTAAAGGTGCCCGGAAAGTGACTGTCATACTTAAAAAATCCTACCTGTAGGTCTACTATGCTCATAATTAAATAATGTATCAAAATAATCAAATAATACAATACAACAACTATTTTTCTTAATACAAATTAGGGAGTGCGAGGTCACCGTATGCACCCCGTGCATCAGCACCAGCATAGAAAATAAAAATTAAAAACATTGTGTTTGATATATTTACTTTACTTTACCTACTGCAAAGACTTGAGTCCACACTCATTTCAGCCCCACTATAGTTGGGACTGTGGTGCGAAATTTGAGGAAATAGTAAGTTTAGATTGCCGGAAATGACATCATCATCGTCACATTACCATTATTTCTCATGATTTTTTTTTTTTTTTTTTTTATCAGCGATTTTTTGGCAACCATACAGATCTAATTAATATGTGTGATGTACCATAGAAAATAAAATTTAAAAACATTGTCTTTGATGTAAATGCTTCACTTTACCTACTTCAAAGCCGTGAGCCCACACCTACCTACGCCACACCATGGTTGGGGTTGAGGTGCGAAAATTTAAGGAAATAGTACCCTCTTATAAAGTGGAATTCGTCATCATCACATCACCATTAAAGTCAAAATGAAGTGCTAGCAAATTTCTCATGATATTTTTCAACGATTTTCAGAATCCATATAGATCCAACTAATATGAGTGATGTACCATAGTAATTAACACTTCAAAGCATTATCTTTGATGTATTTGGTTACCTATTGCAAAGTCGTACTTACGTAGTCGTCGTCGTACTCACCGCAGGCCCACCAGGTTTGAGGCTGAGGTGAGAATATTTGAGGGGATAGTACTTCAAACTGGCCGGAAATGACACTCTTATAATAATAAAAGCCATCATCCTAACATTACCGGTACCATGATATTTTATCAGCGATTTTCGGCTATCATAGAGATCTAATTAATCTGTATTGTATACCATAGAAAATATAACTTAATTGTTTTTGATGTATTAGTTTAGTTTACCTACTTCATGTACCGAAAATCTTATACTCAGTTTTCTCATTCTCAAATTATAACAAAAGCACGCGCACTCGAGTCGTGAGTTATAGGTAATTCAGACGTTAGTGATACACAGGTATCTTCCTATAAGATATACAGTATATTCAGGCTGTACAGCTCTTTTTCATTAAACCTGGGTCTTTTATGAAGTTCGTTTCAACAACTTTCAGGCATCATCTTTACTTATGAAATTACATTGCGGTCGAAACGTGGGGGTTCCAACCCCACTTAAAGAATATAGGTGGGGGTGTCCCTCGTCCCCGTGTCCCAAGTCCCCATGATCTGCGCCCATAACGATTGCGTCTAAAAGTAGTTCACATTGAAACTCCTCTGGTGATTTCCGTGGCGAAGCATTCCTTTAGGCCTAGCTCAAATGCATCTAAATTTCTCTTGCATGAACCAACTTCATCCTCATACTCTCTCATTGCCTTTACAATCTGCTAATTATTTTTTAATATTTTAAACTTTTTTTTATTATGAAGGTTTTGGGCAATGTTTGGTTTTTAACTCAGTTATCTCATCTATCAGCTATATTTTTGGCTCTGAAAAGTTTGGCTTATATCTTGGAATTTCATTGTGCGGCATCTCATTTGGAACGATGGTGTTTTCAATATTTACTGAGGTAAAATTATAATTATTTTAAAAGAAATGCTCATGGAAATGGATATGGGATTTTTAAAATGAGAACATTATTATAATCTTTATCCAATCCAATTCGTAAAGCGCCTTCTTTGCAGGTACGAAGCGCTGCATCCCTCATTAGAGTTATAGCAATGTACATGTTTAAGACTTAAGCTACCCTTTTCCATCATTTTCTTTCTTTATTTAATTTTCATACTATATTTGATATTGTCATTTTGTTATTGTAAATGGTGGTCGAATAAAATGAAAATAATAGTCTATGTAGAGCATTCTGTGTGTGTTTGTGAAGGGATTGCCACATAGAAAATTAAGTATATTCTTAGCTTCTGCTTAAAATGGAATTTGAAAATTGACATAGTATACATACCTGTCTCTTATACACATCTAGATGTGTATAAGAGACAGACATAGGCCTATTCGACGACAATCAATGTAGCCTAATTGTTTATTTATATTTTATCTTATAACTTGGTTTCGTAGGTGTTGATACAATCCTATGGATTACACGGAGCTTACCTTTTTCTTGCCGGGCTGATGTTAAATCAATGCGTTGCGGCTGTATTTATTCATTACCAATGGAAAAAGAAGCAACTTCATAGAAGCAGTAGTGAGATCCATTTACTGGAGGAACAAGTCAAAGAAGTAGAAGTGAACCTAAATGGTTCATCAATACTTAGGAAACTTTCTTCAGTGACAAAATTTAGAGAATTAAAAGCAATCCCTGGAATGTTTATATTCATTGTTGTTTTTGCAATGTTTGAAGGAACATATCAAGCCAGAATGCCATATATTGTACCAAAGGCAATTGACAATGGTATTGATCCAATGGCAGCTGCAACCGGGTTTTCCATCTTTGGAGCTAGTGGAATAGTTGGCAGACTTTTCCAGATACTCGTTAATGCTATCACAAACTGTAATGCAATGTCAATCTTTTTCTTCGCCTTATGCTTGAACTGCGTCAGCAATCTCCTCTTGTCATTGACAGCGCAGTACAGTTGGTATATACTTGCTCTAATTTTTGATGGAGTTTCTTACGGACTTCTTTTGCCATATACAATTGCAATTATAAAGCAGTTATCTGGACATAGATTATTAGCTGTTGCAAGTGGTTGGGGCTTTACTTTTATTGGAGTGATGTCAGTCATATGGGGAGTTTTATACGGTAATGTACATCATTAAACTCCTTGCTAAAACACGTTGTTATTGCAATGTTATTTAGTTGTGAATTTACGTTATAAATACGTGTTAATGGTGCTACAAAAGGTTTTGTACACTCAATTGTAACTTTATAACATAAGAAGTTGGTCATGCACGTCATTTAGTAGGCCTATCCTTTTTTTTCTTAATTTTAACAGGCTGGTTTTACTACATTTTTGGCTCTTACCAAGAAGTGTTTTTATTGTGCTTCGTGATGGAATGTATCTCAATCAAGCTCATCTTAATATCAAGACCATTGCGGAAGATGATCCAGTGTCGCCCGACATTTCGTGATACAAATTTTGAATAACTGACTCGTAGGCCTACAGTGTGTTGTAAATTTTGAAATTTAAACAAATAGATTAGGCCTACACAATTGACAATTTTTCCTCTCACATAAATTAATTCATTTTTAGAGAGGGAGTGAATTATTGTTTTGTATATTACTTTCAAACTGGGAATAAAAAAAAAGATTCTCTCTTTCTTTAGGATGACATATAGCAATTTTCGAGGTTGTTATCCAACAAGAACCAAAAGAACTCATTCATTCCCACTGCTAATCAGATCGATGAGTAAAGACTAAATCTAGCAGCTACAAACGAACATTGTTTAAATATTTATCAGAATAATTATTTCGTCATCAGCAAATTATGCACGAATAATATATAGGCCTACGGTTCCATCTGCATGCGCATACTGTTCCACCTCACGCTCGCAGTCACAGCTCTAGGTCAGCAGTGTACAGTTTTTTTCATAATGAAGTTGAAGACAATTTTGGCAGGTTTAGCAGTATTAGATGAGCAAATGATTATATTAAAACGCATGAGGAGTCAACCATTGTTGTCGTTGTCGTCATCATCGTCGTCGTTATTGTTATTAATTATTATTATAATTATTGTTATTATTAATTCATTAAACTATGGCGGATTAAAAACGTACTAGTAAAGTAAATTCTCTAGACCTAATTCTTCTTTTTCAAATCAATTCTCCATTTATTTATATTTTTTGTTCTATATGAATTAAAATTGTTTAGGTGGATTTCATAGCTTTATATGCTGACACACAAAAAAGTGTACTAAATTAAAGTGAATGTATATGTAGGCCTACTAAATTAAAATTGGTACTGTCATGGGAATAGGCATAGCTATAGGCCTGTTTGTTTTATTAAAATATTACAACTTAATGTTCATGTTAAATTGTCTGCAATCAATACTAATATCTTGCCAGATTAGGCCTATTAATAGGCTAAATATTATTTATTGATCATAATTATTGATAATTATTAATAATAAGCATTATTAAACTTTTTGGGTACCGTATATTCCTATATTAGAGCTGATTAAAGTAAAGTGATAATGTGAGTATATAATGTAACATCGATCTCCCTGTTTCCTACAGGAGTAGGCTACAATTATAGTGTCGGGTTTAATATTTTATAAATTTCTGCATAAGAACTTTAAAAAAAAAAAAAAAAAAAAAAACACTTTATAATATAATACTTTCGATCGTTATTTAGTGATTAATGGACTATGATTGGAAGGTTTCGTCTTATAAAACTATAAAATAATAAAAACGATTATTTATTCTGAGTATATAATGTAACATCGATCTCCCTATTTCCTAGGCTACAATTATAGTGCGGGTTTAATATTTTACAAATTTCTGCATAAGAACTCGGCCGGCCCTTGCAGAAGTTTGATTTTCCTTTAGAAAAAAAAAACAAAAACAAGAAACAAACAAAAAACACACTTTATAATATAATACTTTCAAACATTATTTAGTGATTTAATGGACTATGATTGGAAGGTTTCGTCTATAAAACTATAAAATAACAACGATTATTTATTCTGAAAATAGCCTGACTCTTGACTCCATGCTTAGTCTACACAAGGTGTCCACTAGAACTTTCAGAGAGTATTTTTTAACAATGTCATAATACACTCACAGAAGACAACACCGGTAAGTGAATACATTGTACAGACTTTTTTGGTCTCGCTAAAGCAAAAAATACAGTACAAGATATTGCTTCGTCACATTACATATTGAATAATAAAAATTAAATACAAAATTTACGAGAGTCCATGAGATATCGCAGACTCCAACGAACATTTATTGACTACATTTGGGTAGACTAAATCTAGCAGCCATATGGTTTTGTAGTCAGATTTGCGAGAAAAAACTTCAGTACCCATATTTCTCGACTGAGACGTCGTGGGAGCTGTAATTTGTATGGCAAGAAGATGGTGCTACCTTAATTCGTATTTATGGAATTTACGCCCACAAACCTTGTTGTCAGTGGCGTATCCACAAAAAGCAAAATTGGTCACTAAAATTGTCGCTGTCACATATAATAAAAAAAAAAACACACATAAATTGAACTGTTGGTATGATTCGATGCCTCAAAGGTCTAGCATAGTAATTTTCCTGGTGCATGCAGAATTGTTGATGTAAGCCTATTTAAAATAAAACTATCTATTGTTAAAACAATCCGGTAATTTTAATTAAGGAAAGAAATCGTAATCGACAATAAAATTTTCGTTTTGTTTATTATGGTATTATCTCACTTCTTAAATACTGCGTTCAAGAGATATACTTTAACATGTTCAAAATTATCGCCACGAGTAGATAACTCGTAGTAAACTCGAAGAACTCGTAGGTAGCTCGTAGAGTACTCGGGGTACTCCTACCTAGCTCGTACACTACTCTGGATACTCGTCGGCGGTTTTGTCATCTACGAGTTTGATGCGAGCACCCAAAAACGAGTACGAGTAAGTACGAGCGCACCGAGTTGGCTCGTACCTAACTCGTATCTAATTCGGTACAAACTTGTTACACTCTTAATAAGCTCGTAATTAACTCGGTGCTGCTCGGCATAATTCGTACATAACTCGTAACCAACTCCATAAAGTCGTATCTCTCGTAGCTAACACGTAATAAGCTCGTAGGTCCTTTCCAAAGATCACTAGTTTTAACTCGTAGATACGACTCTTAGGTGAAATAAACCAAGGTGGGAGAGGGGCTAAGAAGCAATATTTTTCAGTGGGCGTGGCCAACGAAAATAAATTTCACGCCCCCTCATATTTTGGTCGCCCCCCCCCCCCATTTTAATACTGCTAGTTGTTGTTGCGAAGCAGCCAATTCATATTCTTGACAGCAATTTGACCTCGGTAAGGTCATTGTTTGTCAAAAAACAAGGGCCTAAGACGACTGAAAAGCGGAGTTTCCTTCTTTCGTTCTGCCGGGTAAAATCAATTACTTTAGGCGACGTTTGTACTATTTGTTAAACTTATATATAATAAATGATAAGAATGTATGTATGGAGTTTTTTTTATTATTATCTGGCAAGCTGACTGAGCAAATACTCACAAAATTTAAATTAAAACGATAGAAAAAACAAGTAAATAAATTGAAATACGTCCCAAAAATATTTAATAAATCAGTGCAAAAACCGAGTATTAAATAAATTGAAATAATTGAGTAAATAAACTGAAATACATCCCAAACAACAGTACCAAGAACGAATAAGTTAATTGAAATACGCCGCAATTAACGCACTACATTCACTGAGAGACGCGCTTGGCGTTCCATAGAAATGACCGGCGGCTCAACTTGTCGGCGGCTCAACCAGTCATAATCCTAACCAACACGTACCAACGTCCGCATGTCGCGCTAGCCTTATCCTACTGAATACAGATAATTTCGGTCGCGCTTCGTTTCGGTCGCGCTTCGTTTCGGTCGCGCTTCATTTCGGTAGCGGGTGGTTTTCAACAAATATATGGAGCGCCAATGGAGTTTCGAAACGCTAAATTTAATATAACTAGGCCTAATTATCATTGCAAGTTCGTCAATCGGTTTATCATACTTTTTTTATTTATCTTTTGTTGTATTTCTAATAAGTAACAACAAGCTACTTAAAAGCAAGTAAAATTAATACTATTATTACTAAACTATCAATATTATCGGACGGTTTTTTTTTTTGGTTTTGTTATGTATTTGTTAGTATTAAAGTTTGTTATTGTTTTTATTTTCGTTTTGTGAATCCTACGCTTTCTACTACATAACAAATACAGCAGATAAAATAAATAATAAAATATGATATGATGTTATATATTATTTTTTTTTTAATTATTATTATTTACATTGTATCTGGAAAAACCAGCCAATTTGTTATTTAAATTACTGTAACATTAGTTTATTAACAATTATTTTTATAAGTATTAAAGTTTGTTATTGTTTACTATATTACTGTATAACTTGGTGCTATTTTTCTTTTTTTACAGAAACAACGCAGATGTTACGAAGTTGACCGAGTTTGAGATACGTTTTTTTGGTTCTTGCTATATATATTGATATAATTTTTATTAATGCTTGAATCAAATAAAAATCTATGGAATAAGTATAGTCAATAGATTAGTTTCGAATACTTTTTTTTTTTTTCTTGTCTGTTACGTTTCCATTTACCATAAAAGTTCTGATCATGTTATAATAATATTGTAAAGGAAATATGTATTTCCATATTTATATTTTCCATATAAAATTATCAATACATTGATAA